AAATGATTTATCTAGCCCGTTATTTCTCCTTCTGGCCCTATTTAAGGGGGGTGGATAGCCCTCCCCATATTCCCCGCGCAACCTAGTCTGGCTGGGGAATTCTGGGAGTTGCAGTCCATCCCTCTTAAAGTGGCCAAGATGGAGAAACACTAGGCTAGCTGCTGGCATCTTGGATTAAAGGAGGCAGGGATGAATTAAGGAGAATAAGATACTTTGGTAAGCCAGATGCGGCTAGGAAGCGCGTTTTAGGGCATGCTCAAGGAAAGCAGAAATATTATCATCTCGGGGCACGGCGGCACGACTCAGATCCTAGGGCAGGCAGCAGCCCAATCAAAATCCCCCGTGCAACTCTTCCGACTCCCCAATGGATGGTTTGTGTGGAGGAAAGGGATGGATGGAGGGTTAAAAGATGCGGCAGAGAAGCAAGTCTCGGCTTGGAGGTCCAGCAGCAGGCATCAAAATGATTAAACGTATAAAGGAACCCCAGGAAAGATGAAAAGCTACCCAAGATGCAAAGAAAGAGTTCTTTTATCTGTGATCATCTCTAAAATAAGATGTTTTTGCTTTAAGGACGGCTTTCCCCCCCAAGATCCCAACCTGACTCTTAAATGCACCTGTTCCCATGGAGGATCTCCTTAAATGGAGCATTGGTCCATCTTGATGTTCTCCAGATGACAGCCAGGTCCCCCTTGTTTCTTGGTTTTGCAGCTGGAGGGAGGATCTGGTTAATGCTGCTCCCTCTTTCAGTTCTTCTTTTTGGTGTTTACTGAAAGAAGACCAGCTGCCGTATGTCTGAATAAAGGAAAGTCTGCGAATTCCGACTAACACGTGCGTGTGCAAAAAGGCCTGGGGCAATTGTAGTCTCTGGGTGGTTCTTACATGACCCGGCCATGAGTCTCTTTGGCCAAGAGCGTGTGGACATTTGTAGCTTCTTAGCTCCTGTTTCAATTTTGCTGGAAGCAAGGTTGGTTTGACAAACCGCTCTCCTCCGGATCTCATAGAGGCAGTTGCTTGGAAGGGCCCGTCCCCGTCACACCCCAGTGACTAAGGCTCGATTGCGCTGAACTCTTAAGTGCAGTTTATCAAATAAACCAAGATGGGTTAGGTTCACCCCACACACCCAGCTGCAAACTGCGACTTACAGGGGCTAAGTCCACAAAAATAAGCCAAACCAAAATCGAAGAAAGAATATCCTTGATGGAAGAACATCTTCGATTCCACCTAGCCTTTGGGTCTGGCCTAGGTCTATTCTGAGGCCAGTTTGAAACGGGTTAATGTTTTGCAGTGAGAGGGAGAAACATGTAATAATGCTCACCGGCCGGCAAATGCATGTTCATCTGGGATGTCAGGGTGAAATGCACCCCTCCGTGCAAGCAGATCGTCTGCTCTGCCTGGGCAAAACTTGGCATTCTTAAAAGATGGGCAGAAAATCCAGCAAGCAGGAACAGGGAGGACTCGGATTACTTAACGCTTAGAATGAAAGTGAAAATCACAGCCCGTTTCCTTGTTTGGGGGAGGCCCATGTGACAAGTGTAATAAATTGATTGTCTCCTGTGGGCACTGGCGTGCGGCTACTTCGCTGAGCTACGGCGTTCAGCTAGCAAACTGGGAGGTTGCGGACCGGAGGAAGTTCTTTGGGGCTTTGAGTGGGTCAGAAGTTGGATGACTGCTGTTCGGAAAAGCCTGCCAGCTGAAAGATGTTCAGGTAGGTACAAGGCCATTTTCTTCCTGGCACCGCCCACTTTTAACAAAGGGAGAAAGTTTCTTTTTCCACAAAAGGGTGTTTGGAACAATGTTGACTTTTAGGTTCGAATCTCTGTTCTCTGGATCATGACGTGGGTATCTTTTCCCAGGGTGTTTCATATGTATCAAGCCAGGGAACGAGGGGTTTGCTACCAACAGGAAATCATAGCCAAAACACTCTCACTTATAAGTGATTTACATGATGCACGTATTCCTGCTCTTAATGTCCTATTTTTAGCATATCTGTTTTTGCAAAAGTAAAATATGAGCAGGGCCTTAATTAGCAAAGGCACATTAGGGTTAAGAAACTGGAGATAGGAGGGCTCCATGACTCTTCACATGTTTTCCAAGCAGCCTAATTCAGTAAGGTATCCTCCAATCTGACACCAGGATTTACAGAAATGTGGTTTATAAGAACCTTTCCATGTCATTAAAAATATTGCTTATTTGTGGGGTAATCTCTCCATCTTCCATGGAGCGTTCTAATTTCTTTGTCCCCCTTGCACCGTGAGCAAATACAGCTATACTGTTAAAAGTGTGGCAATAACTTTTATTGTGGACTTCCCTGATTTCTTGGCAAAACAAGACTCCTGTGGTGGTGTCATGACTTTGCTAAAGTATATTTTGGAGTAGATTTATTGCAGTGGTGTTGGGAGTTGTAGGATGTCTTCCGTACGTTGATCGTGATCTTGTTGCTTCAAGATTGTACCCAGTTCTGAACTGAACACCATCGTTGCATTGGGGAAAGATATGTTCTTGCCAACATAAATAATCTTCACTCAAACTGAGTAAGTTGGCTTCCTCTGTGCCTTCCTAGCGATTGGGAAGAGAGAATTAAATGATGGCTCTTCTGGTGTGCCCTGACTTGGAGTGAGAAGAAATCCAGGATGATCACAGACAATGATGGATCATCATTAGGTTCATATTAGCTGTGGACACCCGTGGTGGCTGGAAGCCAGTCTTCTCTCAAGCTTACATTGTCATTTCAAATCCGAGTAGTCATCTTAGCCAATGATCCTACCTCTCAACAGGATGGAGTTATATGCTTGGCTGTTGACACTCTGCGTGGCTGCTGTGTCTGCCGAACAGTGGCACAAAGACCCCCAGCTGAACAAGCATTGGGAACTATGGAAGAAAAAGCACAGCAAAGAATATCAAAATAAGGTGAGACCGCTAAGCAGTAGCTCCCGGAGATAAATGAAACATAAATAATTCTTTTTATAAGCAAGGTCTTCCGGTTTGGGTAATTGCAACTTCTGCTTTAATTCTTAGAATCAGGAAGATCTGCGCCGAATGAATTGGGAAAAGAACATACAACTTATCACACTCCACAATCTCGAATATTCGCTGGGCCTGCATTCTTATGAACTCGGCATGAATGACTTAGGAGATATGGTTAGTATTATTGATTTATTGAAGGTATATTTAAATATGCTTGGTCACTATGCATATTACACAACGGACAGAACTAAATGGTACTGCCGTATTTTTGAAAATGGGGTTGATGAGGATTAAAGAGAATTTTCTTGAGGAGGAGAAAAAAAAAATTCAGGTGTGTTTCACAGCGATCGAAACTTCTGCAGTCAGGGGGAAAAAATGCAAGCCCTGCTAATTCAATTTGAAAAATGTTGTCTTCTTTATGTTGCTAGCAACCCCCTTTTCTCCCCTAAGGAAAATCTCCGGTACTATATTTCGTATCCAAACAAGGAAGGTGTCTGTTTTCTTAAATTCAAAAGTGAAGTACAAAGCTATTTTCGCTGAATGCACTGAGCACGTTGATCACCTTGGGTAGACTCTTTCACACAGATGGTTAGGCTGGTCTTTGGCCATAATAAAGATTCGATCGATTCACACAACTGGAAACTGCAGAGCAAAAGAGCAACGTCCCCTTTCAGATCTCCTATTCTGGGGGTGGATGAAATGCAAGAATGCCGCAATCCTGTATTGTGTGAAAGGAGGAGGACGTCGAGCTTTTAAACGTTCTTCTTTGGGCTAAATTAATAAACGTATATGGGACCTTTATGCAGACCCACGAGGAAGTAATGTCGCAGCTGACAGGCTTGAAAATCCCCTCTTGGTGGAACCAAAATTCTACGTGGCACAAATCAATCTCGGGCATCGGTCTTCCTGATGCCGTAGACTGGAGGGATAAAGGATGTGTCACAGATGTGAAGAACCAGGTGAGAAGGATTTTTTCTTTTTTTAATAGACGTTGGTCTGTTCAGGACATTTTCTGCAACTGGTTCTGCAATCTCTCCCTTTCAGTATGCGTGCGGTGCTTGCTGGGCCTTTAGCGCGGTTGGTGCTCTGGAAGCTCAGTTAAAAATCAGAACCGGCAAGCTGGTATCGCTCAGCCCGCAGAATCTGGTCGACTGCTCCAATTTCTACGGAAACCACGGTTGTAACGGAGGCTACATGCCTGCTGCTTTCCAGTACATCATTGATAATCACGGTATCAACTCGGAGGCTTCCTACCCATATACGGCCAAGGTTTGTGGGGTTCTTGATGCAGAAGACGGTTGGCAAACTTGCTCTAAACTCTGCCCTTCTTTTTGCCTCCTTTCGTGATGGCTTGCAAAGAGTGGGGCGTGTTGTAACTAAGGCGGGCGCATTTAATCATTCCACTGGCTTCGTTAAGCAACGTTGCTATCCTACGCACGCAGGTATAAATACGCCCAGGTGAGCTTTGCCACTTGGTTCAGAGTAAATTTATAGGGTTGTGCCATAAGATCCGTTGGGGCTTCTGTCTAGTCATCCCACGTTAGGAAAAAAGTGGAATACTTTGGAATAAGGAGGAGGAGCTGCCCCATCTTCAAGGTGGCATTCCTTGTTTCTCTCCCATGAAATGGAGCGTTGCTCTATTAAGATGGCACCTGCACCATCTGAAGCAAAGGAAGTTGCAGCTGTGTCCTAAAATAAAATGAATAACCAAACGAATTAACCCACCCGTCAACTGTGAGCGGGGCTATTTTAGCAGATTTCTCCCATCCAGTGTCGCCACTTTAAAAATTGCATTTTGCTTTTGAAAAACGATTTACCCCTCGTCAATGGGAGCAATGCTTCCCATGATTTCAGGCGCGTTTCCTTGGATTAAAATCTTGTTTTTCTCAAGACTCCCCAAGCAGCTTGCATTTAAGTCGCTGAGCTGGCCCGTGTCCCAACAATAAATTTTAGCATCTCCCAAAGAGCGTTACCTAAGACCTCAAGAACACTACGCTTTCAAAAGGAAATCAAATAAGGGTTATTTAAGAAGGAAGCCATGTGGTTGAATGGAGCACCAGTCTGTGGCTTTACTCAGGAGGAAAACCAGTTTTATCTTCTCGCTGCTTCCCCCAGGATGGACAATGTCACTATAATCCTGCTGAGCGAGCTGCGACCTGTTCTCGATATATTTTGCTTCCATCCGGAAGTGAGCTGTTCCTGAAAGATGCTCTAGCCAAAATTGGACCCGTGTCAGTTGCTATCAATGCAAACCAGCCGACATTCTTTCTGTATAAGCAGGGTGAGTTCCTAATGTTTACACACCCAAAGGAAACCTGTCTCTATGTTTCCTCCTTGCATGCAAGGAGACAAGCTAGTAGTAAAGGAGGAGGAGAGAGGAGTGGGTTTTTTTCTGCATTTTCGTTGACCGAAACGAGCAAGACTTGGCTCTGTGAGTTTGGGGTGCGGGCTTCCCCGTAGGCTTCTAGAAGTGATTCCACCTCTTTTCCAACTACTAGGAGTTTACAATGATCCCAGATGCACCGCTGAGCATTTAAATCACGCCGTCCTGGTCATCGGATACGGAACGGAGAACGGCATGGATTATTGGCTTGTGAAGAACAGGTATGGCTGTCCTTGGGCAGCCCCAGGTGCCAAACCAGGATGAATGTCCGGGCAAAGCTGTTTCACGATGCTTTAGTCTTAGATATCTACTAACAAGCATAATTCCCAGGACTTAATTTAGGGACAGTTGAATATTTGGTAGCTCTTGTCTGCTTGCAAGGGAGCAGGAGGGAAATTCTGCATGATCCACGATGCACATTTGCCCAAGGAAAGCTGCATTTTAATTGAGGGGGCGTATATTTTTATAGGTTTGTTGATTTATAAGCTGTTTTAAGGGCTTCTCAAGTAGACAAGGAGAGCCAAACTACTTATTAAAAATAAATACATGGAAATAAAGTAACTTCCTACCCATCACTGATATGCAGACTAGGTTCACCCATGGCATTAAACCAAAATGTAGTTGTTGTGAGAACCCAGCTTGCAAGAGGCCACCATTCGTTGCTCGATCGCCATTGGCCTCTTAACCATTTTTTGCCACTTGTCCATCAAACCATCTAATCGTCCAAAGACGCCAGAGAAATCGTGGGCTTGAGAAAGTCTCGTTCATAAAGCATACAGTAATTATTTCCCCCCCGTGTTGTCCTTTATTCCAACAGTTGGGGAGTCAATTTTGGCCATCAAGGCTACATAAAAGTTGCAAGAAATCAAGGGAATCGCTGCGGCATTGCCAGCTACGGCTCGTATCCGCTGATTTAGATGGCATCTCCAGTTGGCAGTGGACATATTCTTCGCTTGAGGCATCTAATCTTAGGCTTTTAAATATATATATAAATCCAACTGTTGCATTTGGGAAGAGCGATTAATTGCCAAGACCCAGATCCTTCGGTTCCTTCGGCTCCACCTGGTAGATCTGAGACAAGCAGCCCAAACGAGGGTTTATCTGGGTTTAGTTCGGTATTTGCTAACGATCCCAAGGGCACCGCCAGGCTTAATCGGTTAATAAGGTAATGTCTGCCAATCTGCTTTGAACCGCCAACGAGCGCCGGGTAATTGTCGAGGATTTCCATTCTGGCCGCCTGAAAACGGGTTGGAATAAAAGCAGCGTCGAGAGTTTGCATTCAGGGATGCAAAGCGAAGGCGTCTTTAAAGCGCGGCCATTTGCAAGATGGCTTCTCGTTCTGGAAAGAGTTGGACGCAGACAAGTTGCGCGTCGGTCTCCTTTAAGGAAGAAAAGAACCATTGCACAGAATGAGACGTCGTTTGCAAGAATTTTTTCGGCCGCTGCCTTTTCTTCTTGCCACTTACGCTTGATCCTTTCTGAACCTGGCTGAAACTTCATTCCAAAACCCAGATTAAACCCTGGCCTATATTAAAGATGATTAAATGCAATGTGCTGCAGACCTGGTTTTTTTTTTCATTTTTCCTTTCTTACCGTTGATAACAGGCGGCCACCCAAAACCGGGATTCTGACATTTTTAGCACCTCCCAAACTTGAAAGGGTGCCCACTTGACTTGGGCTCACAAACTCTAATGGAGCCACAATTTCCCTTCCCTTGCCCATGGGGCATGCAAAAAGGACCCCATGTTGCATTAAACCATGGTTTGCTTCATCATCATTTGCGGAACAAGCCCACGTTGGGATGGGTTGGCATGACACGCCAAGCCATAAACCATGGCTTCCAAGCCAGGGATTGGGTTCACACCAATCAGGGAGGCACAATTTGGGAGGTTTTTTTCTAAGAGCGTTCAAGAAACTGTGGCTTGGTGTGATGGGAAAACCCAGCTGATGTGTTTGTTGACTGCATGGTGGTTTAATGTTGGTTTGTGGTTCCTTTGACCAAGGAAAGGAAGAAAAAAGAGAATAGAGGGGCTAGAAAGGAGCATAATTCTGCCCCAGCTCTGAAAAAAATGGTATATTAACCATTATCCCCCATCATGAATGATGGGCATTGTAATCCAACATAGTGTCTTTATTCTTTCCCTCCCCTTCCTGAGGGTGCTGGGGTGCAACAACCCATCCTCCCCAGTCCATTGAGCATGCTGATTGGGGCGGAGATGGGCTTTGTAGTCCCAACCCATCTAGAAGCGGATGGTTGGCAAAGGTTGGCTTTTAAGGATGCCTTTAAAATTACCATTAAATATTTATATTAAGAGTCATATAGGTGAGATAGGTGGCTATGTAAATTTAATAAAATAAATAAATACATTATTAAATATAAATACTGGAGATGGCCGGCCAATAGATTTAAATGAATAATAAATAATCTTTATATATTGTTATAAATAATAAATTAATTTAAAGACAGGCTAAACATCATCATCAGAGGATTCGATTGTTCTCCCTTGCCCCCAAATATATATTTATCTAAATGAGGAGATTCCATGTTGGAAGAGAATCCCCAACGGGTGGGTAGATGACGTCAGAGGTGCCATGACGTCATCCCACATGATGTCATTGGGGCTCCTCTCCGCAGCAGCCTCTGCTTTGAAAAAAGGTGGGAAAAGCGAGGGGTGGGGGGAGGGGGGACTGTTGGGCCGCCTGAGGGAAAAAGGCGGGAAAGGCGAAAAAGGGAGAAAACAGCCCGAGGCGGCCATTTTTCCCCTTCACGGTGTGCGTTCTCTCCCCCTTTCCATAGTTTCCAAGGTCTTTTTTAGAACACACGCACAAATAGGTGTTACTTATTTATTTCATTTCTCCATTGTGATATTTCTATACCGTGCCAGGTGGGCTCCAGGCTCTCCAAGCAATCTGCCATGCTTGCTGGACGTAAGGAGAGTGGTGGGGCCTAGAAGGCCCCCCACACTGGCTCTCGCCCCCTTTCGATCCACCTCCTCTTGGTCGCCGTCTTGAACCTTTGTGACGAGCAAGGGACCCAAGTTGGAGAAGACTTATCTTGGTTCCCCCTGATGGCCAAGCTTTCCCTTTCCCTTGGGAATGGAAGGGCAGGAAAAATGGAGGATAGCCTGGAGGGCCGTGCAGATCCACCCAGCAGTCACCACAAGCCGGCTTCTCCCAAGCTCAACATGGCCACTCTGCATTCCTGAAGGGAAAAGATGGCAGTCCATGCAATTCTCCAGAGCCATACCTAGGGCTCCCCGTGCCATGCGAATGTGGCATCTCCCAGCCATTAAATCATAATGCATTTATTCCAGGAACACCTAATTGCTCCCATCAAAACTGGTTCTCCTTGAAGGCCACGTTCCCCAACATATTCAGCCATTATGGTTTGGCAACTAGAATTATGGTTTAGGGCGTTGTGGGAACGCAGCCATAAACGCCCCCGAGCTCGGCCATTTCCCCTATTTCTTCCCCTAAATAGTGCAGGACTAACTCAGTTTTTTTGTTAACAGTGGATTGCAATATCCCGTTGCAAAAGAAAATGGCAACCGTGCAGAAGCAAAGAAATTCTCTGGTATGCTTTAGGCTTCTAAAGGCAGATCCATCCGGGGTTGAAATCCAGGACTGCTGGGCCCGGAAGATAAACGATTTCTTTCTTTTCCAGAGTGCAGCCATATTCCCCAACAAAATAGCGACAGAACAGCAATCGCTCATCTTGGTGAAACGGCTGCTGGCCGTCTCCGTCTCCTGTATCACGTATCTAAGAGGCATTTTCCCAGAATGTGCCTATGGAACAAGATATTTAGATGGTAATGTCTTTTCCATGGAGCGGGGAAAGAATAAGAATAAATCCTCCTGGAAAAGGGTTTTGGAAACACGCTGAGGGACGGGGGAGACTTTGCAGAACATGGAGGCTCCAGAGGAGAAGATGGACCTGATAAGGAGGAGAAGTCCTTCTCCACCACTGTGGGGGCCATGGAGAGTCCCTTCTCAGCAAAATGCATTTAAATGCATGCAATAAAATGCAAAGGGTTGGGATGGATTGCCAAGGATTGCAAACTGTGCTCAAGAGCCGTCGTCGCGATATTTTAAAAATAATACTTCAGGGAGCGAGATGAAACGAAGCGAACAAGCATCTTTGCAGTCCAGAGTTCGCAAAGTAGTCAGCGGGTTTTTCTTTTCTATTTTTTGTGATTTTTTAAAGATTTAATAACATCATCTTTTTAAAAAGTGGAGATGTCACAGGCCAAACCAGACCATACTGCATGTGGAAGGGGAAACGTTACCCTAAAAGTTTCTAAACCAGTGTGAGTCTTTTGCTAGGCTGGCAAACAGCAGGAAGTTAAAATAATTGAAAATCTTCGAAGGAGGGGGGGGAAAGGAGGTTTTGTTTCTTACGGGGGATTTAAAAAAAAAAAAGTTCCCTTTTTAATATTATGGGTTATAGGCATATAGGCGTATCTTAAATGGAAAGATATTGGCATCTTTTGGGCAAGTTTTTAATCGGAGACGTTGCAGAAGCCGTGATGTCATTGCACAATGATGTCATGGGCGTGATGTCATGTGCCCCCCCTTGCTTGCCCCCTGTGGCAGCCATCGAAACGGGCAAGACTCCTCCGATTCCACCGAAGCAACGTGGCATTGTTTTAGATCAACCAGTAAAAAAATTAATTGCAATTCATTAGGGTTGTGGCTCAGCTTTCCTTACCGGCAGTTCGTTTGTGTCTTTCAAGATCTCTGCGTGAAGATCCTGAAAGAAGATAAAAACTGCCCCAGCTCCAGCCAGTTAGTGAAATGGTACGTCTGCCCTATGCAATTTCCACCTGCTTTAGCTCCTCTTGCAGGGGCGGCTCGCAGAGCTTTTGCAAATTCACATGTTTTCCTGGTTCGCCTTATTCTCCTTTATAATGGGCGGCCCGTGCTTTTGGAAGCGTAGAAGGGCGGGTGGCTGCCTCCCGGGCTTTTAATAGAGAAGACCCGCGGGAGGAAGCGGAGGACCCACCTGGAGGCAGAAGAAGATGGGGAAACGTAGGTCAGAACGCCCTGGGCCCCTTTAGTAAGAACTTATTCCAGTTGCCTGCACTACACGGCGGCCAGAGATGGAAGGAAAAAGTGGGGATTAAGGAAATAAGACATGGAAGGGCATGGAGGCCTCCTAAAAAGCCAGCTCTGACCCAGGTCCCCGGACTAGCAGAGAAGAAAGGGGGGTCAATAAAGGCTATCCATTATCTAAGACCAGCATACAGTATGTGGAGGCCGAGGGTTTTTTACAGGTCGGGATGCATCCGGCAGAAGCAGAGGAGGTGGAAGAGCAAAGCCCCTGAGATCTTGGGCAGCATCAAGAACAGAGATGAAGCCGCCCAGAGTCACCCATCTGCTGGGGGAGATGGGCGGCCTGCAAATTTAATTAATAAATAAATAGGTAGATAAATCTGGTGGGCTTGGGAAGCTGAGAGTGCAGTCAAAGCTAGGAGATGGGTGCTCCGGGCAGCGGGAGTTGGGCGGCGTACCAATTAAATAAACCGTGGGGATGACGCGTCGTGAAAGATGCACGTTTTCAATTGAATTGAAGCTCGTGCTTCACGTCAGCCCAACTGGCTTTCTGAACCAAACCCACGGGTAAACGGCCGTGAATTTTCCACGGAAAGCGCTCCGTAACTTGGTACCGTTGGACGTTTTCTCTTCCAACGGATACAGGCACGAAACGAAGTCTTTTTCAATTCGTGCATGCAAAAACTAAGCCTCAAGCCGCGGCCTTCTCTGATTCTTTACAGGATGCTAGGCTGTTACGATGCGCTGCAGAAAAAATACGTAAGTGGCAACGGGGTTCGATCGCTAAGGGGCCGCAGACTCGGTTTTACAAGTAAAGGTGTGACGATCCTCCTAATAACGCTTGCTTGCTTGCCTTTTCCACAGCTCAGATTAATTGTCTTAGCGGTAAGTCTGGCAAGGATATATTCGGTATGACTTCCTCTACAAATGGGCCTTTGCTTTCTCTTTGCTTGGTTTTCATTCTGCCGTTTATCTTTGCACACAGGTCTACACCAATCAGCAGGACCCCCAGGTATGTCTTCCGTGGCGTTTCTTACCTTTACGACGTTGGGACGGGGTGCTTTGTTTTGAATCAACACATCCCTTAAACGTCTTATACAGACGTTTACTGCAAAGAACATTTTGATAGGGGTGGATACTTCGATCTTTGCACGGGATCTAATGGTGACCTTGGCCGAGATGGAAGGACCTCCAAGAGGAACCATTAGCCTTGGAGCTAGAAGGAAATGAGTTGGCTTTTCTGTTATTTGGGAACAAAATAATGCCGTTCTCCTTATCAAAAGTACCTTCCTGGACACACAAAATAACAAACCCACTAGGTGTCACCCTACCTCTGTATTATATTATACGATCATAACGTATTTAAGAGTACAGGTTTTTTCATCGTTACAGGTTTAGCTGGAGCCCTGAGAAGCCCCTTACTTTTCGATGTATCTGTGCAGAACGCTGTTCCCAAAATGAATCCTGTTTTGAAATTTGTTCCTTGGCTTTGCGAAACGGGCTTAGCCCTGTCATTTTGCTCACAGTTCCCCCTCTTAAAGCTAGATAAATAACTGCTACGTTTTGTGTTTAGACAGTTACCGAATGTTACCAGTTTAAGTTCAAATACACAAACAAAGGACCCTCGATGGATTTCAGAAGGTATGCTCTTATTTTTCCCTCTTCGCCAGGAGCTTCAGTCAGACATTTCTCTAGCTACTTGTCCTAGCAAGGTTGTGGAGGAATATCTTCTATGATTCTGGAAACTCAGCATTAACCTGGGTTGACAAGGACAATGCACAATTGCTCACTAACAGTTGGCTTGTTACGAAGTCTAAACAGGGTTGTTGCCACAAATGTTACCAAAGCCATCTTTTTAGCAGCTCCCAAATTCTGCAGACATATTAAAAATGCAAACGTAGACTTGCCTTCCAGAGTGAGCCCCTAACCAATCATGCAAAGATGAATTGAGTCCAGCATTTTGTTTCCGGAGACTGTCGGAAAGACAGCGTGAATGCAACCGTCCCCTCTTCCTACTCCCCACGATTGGTATTCAGGCCGATATGGCCTTTGACCTTTCAGGTTCCATCCAGCCATCATGGTTTGTCCTCCCTGATAGATTTATCTTCCGTGATGAGTCTGACTAATTCCCTTTTAAAGCTATTTAAGCGAGTGGAAAGAACCACACCACATCAATATGGAGCAATCGTCATAAATTTAGTCTCGGCATTCTGTGAAAACGTCCTGCCTTTGGTGTGTCCTGAACGTCCGCAAGTCAACTTGCATTGGATGACACCACATTCAAGAGGGACAAACAATTCTCTGACTGTCTCCGCATCTTGCATAATTTTATAAACATCTCTGCCCCCCCCTCCCCCCGGCACGCTGTGTCTAATTTCCCTCAACCTCCTTGTCAAGAAGGTGCTCCATTTTGCTGGCCCCGCTGTGTTCTCTTTCGAAGGCAGCGGATAACGCTTATCTGCAGAAGCAGCTAGGCGGCAAGGGGAGGGCTTCCATAGAGCTGAACAGGGTGGGTTAACAGACTGGCACTGGGAAGAAAGCTAAAACTTCAGTATCACCCTTTTAGGGGAGGTGATGGACCATCTGGCCTGTGTGATACAACTTGGGCTATTTTGTGTTTTCCTAAAAACAAAAAAAAAGTCAGGAGAGTAAATCGAGCATCACATGCGCCGATACGAAGAAAGCAAGTATCCTGCTCATCCGGAAGATTTATATCCTGATGCAAAATCTGGGCCCGCTGCCTGATAACGTCTGTCTGACGATGAAGCTGTTCTATTATGATGAAGGTACCCTTAAAATCTTAATATCGTCTAATGAGGTAGACATGTCCAACTCACGGCTGGCCAACTAACGTTTCTCATCACGGAACATGGGTTATTTTCCTTTCAGTTACGCCAGCTGACTACCAGCCCCCGGGGTTCAAAGAGGGCGATTGCGAAGGGATGGCATTTGAGGGGGAGCCAATGTACCTCAATGTTGGGGAAGTTCCCACCCCGTTTCACATGCTGAAAGTGAAAGTGACGACAGAGAAGGATCGTATGGAGCGTGTCGATAAAGCCATACTAAAGGAGGACCCCTCCCTTGCTTCTGCGCAGGGCTGGCCCCTTCATGAAGGCCACAACCAGAAAATGGATGTAAGGATGCTAGAATGTATCTCTATGCTTATGCTTGAAGGAATCAGTATTATGCTATGTTATGGGTCGCAATAACATCATTTGCACCGCCCATCTTTAAAAATGTCAAAACAATTCAGTCTGAAGATGTCCTTGTTTGTGTACTTCACACAGGAAGATTTTATTGCAGAAAACAAAACGGGAGAGCAGAAGAACGCAAACAGAAAGCTGCACCCTGGAGGTACAAATTGCCTAGAATTTTCTTCGGTATCAAAACAGCTGGGGCATTCATCTCAGTGGCCCTACCTTTTCTGCACCTCTGACGAAGCTGTGCACTTGGTGCTTTTAATGAACATGTTAATCATTTTAATATGTTTGACGAATAAGCGTGAGATTAAAAAAGAAGGTAGGGAAACAAAAGACTTGTTACTTCTTTTCACCTCCAGAAAGATGACACAAATGTGATAACGGGTTAAATTCTGATCTCGTTAAAAGTCCTTCTGATGGGCAAGCATTTTGCTTACATTTCATTATGATACATTTATGTATTTATTTAATGTATTGGATTTATATAATTGCCCATCTTACGCATGTGACTCTGGGTGGTGCAGATTAAGTTGGGACGGGTTTTCGCAGACTAAACATGCAGTTAGGGTAATAATTAGGCACCCCGTGTACTTTACTAGCCTTGGGAAACGGAGAGAGAGGAGCAAGGTTTCCACAGCACAGCCTCTCAGCCATGGGCCCTGCTTCCTGCACAGAGAGCAGTTTGACTACTTCTCTCAGTCTGATGTTGAAAATGCATTAAGGCAGTTCAAAAGTTTACCTCCTGTTTACTCAGTTTCCTGAAGATTTGCGTAATCTTTTACAGAACAAAATCTAAATGGCAAAGATGAAGAAAAAATGACAGAAGAACACCAGAACAGTACGATCAGTGATTCTAAGGTAAAACCTCTGTTTCCTTTTCAACATCCCCCCCCCCTTCCCAAAGGGTCAAGGAAGAAAACTGGTTCTGCTTCGTGCAGTGCAGGCGCCTGCTGCCTGTGCCATAACGACTCTATTTCCCCAACCATGCCGTGCTGGGACAGCTTCTCAGCTTTTAATTAATTGAATTTTCTTGTATTTGCTGCGTGGCAAATGAGTTTTAAGGGACAAAACATCAGACAGCCCAGCTGAAGCTTATGAACAAAACTGTATTTAGTGTTCAAGGCTCTGCTTGAACTCAGGAAAGCTGAGGATTGTATCCCAAAGGTGGGGAGAGGCAAGCCTCTTTTTGCGGACAGAAAATCTGTGGCTCCTGTTCTTAAATATGCTCATGGGACACAAATTTGTACCGAGCCTGACCAAAGCAGAAATGTTGTTCCATTCACATTTAGCAATTAACCATTTGGCTGTTTAACTGTTTTTAGGTGGGTCATTTAATAAGCAAGACATCAGAGCTTGAAGTCACCGAGGGCAAAACCCGAAGCGGGAAAAGATTTCAGCGTCACACAGTTAGTGTTTTATTCTTAAAAGGATAAACATGCATTCTTTTAAAAGATCAGACTGATAGTCATTCAGACATGCATGGCATCGATTTGTAGTACTGACAGTTCTTAATTTGTTGTCCTAAATTTAAATTACTTTTGCCGCATCTCCATTTAAGTTACTGTTACCAAAGCTGGAGATGACTTGGTTATCCATTTGTTCTTGATGAAAATATTAATTCCCATAACAAATGTTAGTGGCAATCCATGACATTATCTTAACCTCACACTGATCTTTTCTTGTGAATTTCTTAAGGCCGCATGCTAGGTTGCTTGCGCGATTCTTCAATCCCAGCCCAGAGAGTTCCATCATACTGAACACTGGGGATACTCAGGAATATACCCTTGACTTACTGGACTAAGGTGGGGTGGGGAAGGCCCATGAAGTGGTTGGGATTTTCCTCATGCACCAAGAATATCATGAATGGACAGACAGCCACCTGGTGTGATGGTCAAAAACGCCTAGCCAAGGTGGTTAAGCCAAGAATTTACTGAATTTGTTTCATCCTCCAGGGGCCATCCCACCACCTGGTGTTCTTTCCTGCTTTTCACACACTTCAGCAGTAACTCAAACATTATTCGAATGTTTCTGAAAGTAAAATGTTGGATAATGTAGTAAAGAACAAGGGAAACGGCTATTACTCCAACTGGGAATTGTGCTAAAGATAAAAACTGCCTTGAATCAAGTAGAGTCCCTGGTGACTAGCCCAGCTGAAAAAGAGTGGGGTCCCAAGCCTGTTAGTTAGATACATTTTTTAATAAGGGGAAAAAAATCCCTGTTATTTCACAGCCACTGTTATGCTGTCAGACTGACTTTCAGTTTAGACGGCTAGGATCTGAGAGGGGAATTTGAGCACGGTTAGGTAGCAGCACTCAGTGTCTCTTCTGGCCCTGAAGTGATGCTGGTGGGCCCTGGAGTGAGGTCAGGAAGCCCTGCCTTCACACTGAAGGTTTAATGAAAAAGCATGAAGTCAGGTCAGACCAAGGAAGGCTTCCAGCTCTCATTCTGGATACTCTGCAAGGCGAACCGAAACGGTGCTGCCTTCTTCTGATTAAGAGGACTTGGCAGGAGCGAAAGTCAGTCGGGAGGGAGGCTTTAGAAAAGCTGCCGCCCCGAATTCCCAGTTTCCAGCAGAAAACGTTCTAGAAAAAACCTTTAGGTCAGTCTGAATTTCTGCAGATCCTCTCATCCATCACGCGAAGTGCTACCAAAAAAAAAAAAATCTTTGCACCAGCCAGATGCCTGATTGATATAAAATTGTCCACCTATAAGCATTGTGGGAAAGATTCTGCCAGAATCAGCAACTTAAGAAATGCCCTTTAGCATATACAGCAGGGGAAGTAAATCACATGTCATCAGGACCAAGCTACGGCTTGCCCTCACTGTCGCCACTCTTAGAGAGCCCTTCATTAATTTTTTAGCACAAGTTGAGGAAGAGTAACAGCCTGCAGATGCCGAGCGAGCTTCTTAATAGCTGTCTGCAGGCCTCTCTTCTAGAGTAACAGTTCCTCTGTCTCTGTCAAGGGTGATGTGGAAAACACGAAGCAGAGAGCAGCCAGGGGTCCCGAAGCCCAGAAGAGAAGTAGCTCAGAGCTGGATAAGCCAGTAAGTGGTTCGCCTAGCCAGAAAGCAACGGCCTCCCTCCTTTCTCGAAGCGGGGTTTTTACAGAACAAATAGAAAGTCCGATCTTTTTAAAATGACAGCTGCGGTCTTGGAAGGTTAGCAGAGGGAGGTGGCTTGCGGGGACAATGGATGTTCACTGTTGCCCGTCCAATTAATGTCTGTGCATGTATGCCTTGCGGTGCTTCAACCACACTTACTCCCGGGTAACTGTGCACTGGACTGTGGCCTTAGCAATAAACACATCCACATTAGGACAGAGGAGGGCCAGATCGGAGCTGTGGAAGCGGACCCTGCCGGCATTATCCCGGGACCCTTGCTCCGTGGTGAACAGCCACGCAGGGGGGGAGGCACAGGCGAGTGTGGTGCTGAAGGCGGCCAGGCCTTCTTAGGCGCTCCTGGTGTCTCACGCGTGGGCAGAGCCCTTTTGGCCACGCAAAGTTTGGGACTTCGACGTCCCTCAACGAGAAGGACGCTCTGGCCATTTCCTCTGCCGTAATCGCTTGTTTGCATAATGATCAATTATCCCACCGCTCTCCCTCTCGGTCCCCCGAGGGGCATCGCCGGCGGAGTATCAACCTATCCTGGACAGCGGTGTCCGTCTTACTGTCCATTACTCCGTCCATATCAATATTCCAAGCCGCTTCCGTCAGCGTTAGCGAGGCTTTATTCCCAGTCAAATCAACATACCTGCATTGAAATGATTACCCTAAATCTCGAACAGGTTGGCTGGAGACAACCAATCTTGCGTTTCTCCGCCGAACAACTCAGTTTAATCTCCATCGATGTTTTTATTGACGTTATGCCACATTCTTCGTGTTTACCGAAGAATAAGTCCCCCCAAAGTTCAGCAAAGCTTACCCGATGTGAAATGCGCGCAGGAGGGCGGCCAGATACACCTTTTCTGCAGCCACTGCTGAGAATTTACAGACCTTTTATCATCCCATTCAGCCTAAGTAAAGAATTACATGTTCCGGCACTTCCCCTGTATAAATGAGTCGCTGTTAATGCCCGCGGTGCTTTCAGGTCTGATGGCAAACAAATTGCCAAAAAAGGAGTAATGGAACTCGCTGGCCGGAATACATTAACTGCAAAGAGGTCCTGAAGGGAGGCCGAGCTGTGACTGTGTATTAAACGGGCAAACGTTCCCCCGGCTGCTGTTCGGGCGCCCCGTCCTCCCAGGCCCCGCAGTTCTGCCAGGGCGAAGCGTGTCGCTCTTCCTTAACCCGACAGGATCGAAATTCCTATTTCATTTCACTCCATTAAACCTCAGAGAGCAACGTTTACCGGGCCGTCGCATCACGCCTGCCGCTTAAAAACGACCACCGGGGTTACCCTTCACCGGCTGGCTGGCTTAAAACGTCTCTGCGCCCAAACCAGGCACCGGGTAGTTTATATGCCCTCGATGAGAACGGAAACAGTAAAAGGGACGGAGGGAGGAGGAAACTCCCGTGAAACCATCTATATTCTACGGCAGATATAATCTGTTCTGTTGCTTTTTCCCCCCCCAGGTCTATCGCCTGGATTTCTCTTCCAGCCAAGAATTCGGTCCCAAACGGAAGAAAATTAGCGAACCAAAGGAACAGTTCTAGATCCCCCCTTCTGGTTTTGCCCCGACTTCTCCCCCAAAACGTTTTTCTCACTGTTGCTACTCGTTCGATGTTTAAGAAGGAACGCGTTGTAAAAGATTAAAGCCGTCGAGGTTTATTGGGCTCCTGTTTTCATTTACCGCGCCTTTAATTCGGAGATAGTGTGAAACCTGGCGTCTGGGAGGATGCCTCCTACCCATCAGCCTGGGGAAAAGATGGTGGTGGTCCAAAACAGAGGCACGATGCCAGGGGCGGGCTGGTTTTGTGCCCATCGGTGCAACGAGGCTCCCGCTGTGTCCGATGAAGCAGACCCCGAGGGAAGGAGGAGGGGCAAAAACGCGGCCGGGGAAAAAGGCCGTGGCTCCTAATAGCTTTTCGCCAACCAAGCGCGCCAGCCTTTCCCAGCTGGGCACCTCTGGGCACCGGGGGGGAGGGGGAGGAAGATCCGCAAAGATCCGCGGGCGCCAGGTTGGGGACGAGGCCATCCCACTCTTCTGGCAGTGACACCTGGAGCGGCACACCAGGAACGTGCACTTCGCAGTGGCGGCTTGGGCGTTTCGTAGCCGCCCTGCCTCGGCGGGGAGGGGACGTTGCGGAGGCTGGCTGGCTGGCTGGCTGGCTGGCGGGCCCCTCTTTGCCGTGGGTGCCGTCTTG